TGTGTGCGTGTCTGTGCCAGAACTAGGGGTGCCTGCAATACCATGTGTAAGTGGGCAAAAACAACTGCACAGCGAGGCAGGGCTGGATGAGCGTGTGTACCTATCTGTGTCAGAGCCAGGGTTGTTTAAGATGCCATGTGAAAACACAAGTGGATCAAACCATTGGGAGCCAGGGCAGGATGAGTTGATGTGTTCACCTGTGTCTCAGTCAGGAGTATGTCAGGTGCCAGAACAAAGAGAAAGTGAGTGGCTATGTGAGATTATGGAAGGATGGCCTGGCTGGGAGAGGAAATTACGTGAGTGTGTTTCACATCCAGTGCCTGACCAAGGAGTGCTAAAGGTGTCATGTGACAATGTGCAGGAAGAGAATTCTAGGGAGAGAGGGTTGAATGAATATGTGTGCCAAAATCTGCCTGACGCCAATGTATTGGCTGGGCTGTGTGAGAGTGTGGAGCGAGAGCATGGCTTTGAGGGAGGGCAGGGTGTGTGTGAGCCTTACTCTGCTGCAGACTCAGCCAGTTCAAGGTTCCGTATGTGTGAGGACATGGAGTGAAAGTGAGGGAGAGACTGAGGTTCCATCAGTAGTAAGGGAGACCCGTCCACGGCCTGCCCAAAGCGAGGGGCAGGGACAGACTCAGCCTGTGGGTCCAGGGAGAATGGCCGCAGGGGAGCATACTGATGGCGGAACCAGGAACCTTGTCAGCTTATCACAATCACACCTCACACATACACCCAAGTCAGCTCAGGAGAAGGAGTCTGTCTCTAAGCAACTTGTTGATTCTGAACCAAAGGTTCAGAGTCAAAAAGTGCAACGAGCCCAGCAGACAGACCACAAAATAAAAGAGATAAGGAGTGTGGATATATCGCAGATACTCTGGGTGGGTCCTCTGTCTCATCTTTTGTGTGCTTACAGGGGAGTACTGCAGAAATCGATTGGTTACTTCCCCTTAGAGCTACTACATGGGCGCAGTGGGTGCGTCCCAAGAGATATGACCAGAGCGCAATGTGAGATGGAAACAGGCAAATCAGGCATGCGTGTTGTGGATATGGCTGTGATATGGCTTAGGGACAAAGGGCGAACCTTTTTTGGGGGAGGTGTGTGAACACATGAGGGCTACCCCATTCATGGAGAATCAGCGTTATGAACAAGATGAGTGTATGAGGTGGAGGCAAAAAGGAACAAGTGTTGATACGCAAGGTAGAGGCATGTGAGCCTTCTCCCATTGCATCTCTTATTTGGGGGAGGTGTCATGGCAAGGGTGTATAATTTATTATTACACTATGGAATATCATCTTTTAATGTAATTTGCGTAGAAAATGGCACAAATTACAGAGATGCTATTGCTGAGGTTAACAGGGGTTACATCTTTTGAAGCTGGGACCCCCACAGAGGTCAAATGACAGAAGGGGTAGTGTGAATGGCATAGCAATGTGAAAAGGATTTTACTATATGGATGTGAAGTAATCAATGATCTGCAAGGTGTGAGGTTCTACACTTGGAAAAAGTCTGAATGTCTCTTCATCCATTTGGCATGTACCTTGTAAAGGATAGTTCAATCATTTCAAATGGTAATGGGATTCGTTTCATGAAGATCCTTGAGTTCCAGTATCTTATCCAAGTGAAACATTCAAACTTACCCACAGGTTAATAATTAAGCCTCATTTTTATTATATTTGGAATGGGACAAGCCCAATCTTTTAATTAAGCCCACACATGAGTTGCACAACTTAAACCGTGTGGCAGGACTTGTGATGTCCATCCTATTGGATCGTGGGCGGGGCGTCCAACATGTCTTTGGAATGGGAAAACAATAACAAATTCATAGAGGCAATTACAGTAGAGGAGATAAAACCAAAAGTTTGTATGTGGCTTGTTGGTTTCTGGAACAAAGGAGGTGGTCACTTAGTATCCCTATTGCTCCACCCCTGGATGAGGCGTGGCAATTCACAGGGTATATCTCCTGTGATCCTGAAGTGTGTTTGTGTACTTGCTTGGGGCCAAGATCTAATTTTGAGTGAGTCACCATCTTTCCTTGCCAGAGACCCCCTGGACAGAAGTTGTACTTTGAAAAAAAAGTAAGTAAGGACTTCTGTATTTTATCCTTTTTGTTTTTATCTGTTGTTGGTGTAAATCATTTGTTTATCATGTTACATAGTTACATAGCTGAAAAGAGACTTGCGTCCATCAAGTTCAGCCTACCTCACATTTGTTTTTTGCTGTTGATCCAAAAGAAGGCAAAAAAACCCAGTTTGAAGCACAATTTTGCAACGAGCTAGGAAAAAAATTCCTTCTTGACTCCAGAATGGCAGTCAGATTTATCCTTGGATCAAGCAGTTATTACCCTACATTAAAAGATTATATCCTTGAATATTCTGTTCTTGCAAGTATGCATCTAGTAGCCGTTTGAACATCTGTATGGACTCTGATAAAACCACTTCTTCAGGCAGAGAATTCCACATCCTGATTGTTCTTACAGTAAAAAAAACCTTTCCTTTGCCTTAGACGAAATCTTCTTTCTTCCAGTCTAAACGCATGGCCTCGTGTCCTATGTAAAGTCCGGTTTGTGAATAGAAGTCCGGTTTGTGAATAGATATATTTTTATATGCACTGTGACTATCTTTTGCTCATAATAAACATTCATTTATTAAGTTTTGCCTTTGTCTGGTTAAGAATCACGTTACCTGAAGAGACTAGTTAGTATTTTTATAATTCCTTAAATATTGTGCTAATATTTGGTGGGTTTTATTATTGATTTAACTGGGGGACCAAGGCACCCCATTTATAAATTGTCTTGGTGGTGGCAGCGTTAAACTAGTAATAGTTATAGTATTATGTTTAAGTGTGGGTGGTGTTAAAGGGGGATTTTGTCATTATTTCTGGTCTAGTGCAGACAAATAGTGAACTTTAACCCTTTCACAACCCCAACTACGTCACGCGCACTCTTGGAGTAGTGTGCGTTCGTAACACATCAGGTATTTTAAAGCTCATATATATTTTTCAGACGGCTGAAATTTGACTCCAAATTATGAGTGGCTGATTGAAATATTTGACAAAATTGGTATATTAGTTATAGTCTCCGCTGCATTGTATGGCCTAAGGAAAAAAAAAAAAAACCTAGAAAATTAGTAGTAAACATAACTGTTGCTTGAAGTCTGCATTAACATGGGGGTTGGGGAAACTAGCCTCTCTCTTGGAATGTCCAAGGTTATTGTGTCCTGGGAAAAGAATTAAGGACCCAGAGGATAATTAGCGTAAACTAATTTGCATTCCTCAGTCAGAACCTGGTCTCCTATTCCAGTTCCAGTTCATATTCTTCTTGGTATGAATAATTTGTAAATACATTTATTGTATTTTATTTATTGTATTAGAGTACTATCAAAGTTACTATTTGTTGTGTGAGCCTGAGGAAAAAAAAAAAAATCACAATTCAAGATTTTATTTCTATATTAATCCATAGATGCATTATAAAATCACCTCACTTGTGTGAGTTCTCTGATGTCGGACAAGATTTGAATGGTGCCCAAAACATTTTTCACATTCAGAACATGAGAACAGTCTCTCTCCTGTGTGTTCTTTGATGACAAGCTAGCTCTGCATTTGTGCAAAAACATTTTTCACATTCAGAACATGAGAACGGTTTCTCTCCTGTGTGTGTTCTCTGATGACGGACAAGACTTGCGTTTGTCCCAAAACATTTTTCACATTCAGAACATGAGAATGGTTTCTCTCCTGTATGTTTTCTCTGATGACGGACAAGCTGTGACTTTTTGACAAAACATTTTTCACATTCAGAACATGAGAACAGTTTCTCTCCTGTGTGTGTTCTTTGATGACAAGCTAGCTCTGCATTTGTGTAAAAACATTTTCCACATTCAGAACATGAGAATGGTTTTTCTTGTGTGTGTGTTCTTTGATGACTGACAAGATTTGAACGTCGCCCAAAACATTTTTCACATTCAGAACATGAGAATGGTTTCTCTCCTGTGTGAATTCTCTGATGACGGGCAAGTTCTCTTTTCCCGGCAAAACATTTCTCACATTCAGAACATGAGAATGGTTTCTCTCCTGTGTGAGTTCTTTGATGACTGACAAGGTCTCCTTTACTGGCAAAACATTTCTCACATTCAGAACATGAGAATGGTTTCTCTCCTGTGTGTGTTCTCTGATGTCTAAGAAGATTTGAATGTTGCCCAAAAAATTTTGGACATTCAGAACATGAGAATGGTTTCTCTCCTGTGTGAGTTCTCTGATGACAGACGAGCACTGCTTTAATGTTAAAACATTTTCCACATTCAGAACATGAAAACGGTTTCTCTCCTGTGTGAGTTCTCTGATGACAGACGAGCACTGCTTTAGTGATAAAACATTTTCCACATTCAGAACATGAGAACGGTTTCTCTCCTGTGTGGGTTCTCTGATGTTCAGCACAATTCAATTTACGTCTAAAACATTTTCCACATTCAGAACACGAGAAAGGTTTGGGGTTTATGTTTACTATCTCCTTTGAGAACATACAGGAATCTGACAAAATTCTTGCTTTTGCAGAGTTAGAATTGGTTCTGTTAATAGATTTCTTCATAGCCTTGCTTCATGTATTTCTGTTCTTGTCACCGCTCCTGACAAATACACCTGAAAGAAATATATTGGGAGTTAAAGGAAATTGCTATACTTAGAAAAACAGACAATATTTGCATAATATATCTAGATATAGATACCACCATCAGGTGTCATAGTGCTTGCGAAGAAATCAAGTATTTTGTGTGCATTAACCCATTCACTAACAAAATTGCATATACAGGTGATACTCAAAAAATTAGAATATCTTCTGCAATAAGGAGGGTCATCCTGGGGTCGTGACCGGACGTGGGAAGAGATGACAGCACACAGACAGCTCTGCTGTCTCGGGCTCCTCGTGCTCCTGCAATGCGGCTAATACAACCTTTTGGCCGTAGTCCTCAGTAATAGCCCGGCTCTAAACTAAATTAAAACGAGCATCGAAATGTCTCACTGCACGAAAAAGACCGTGGAGGTTAAAGACAAGTCGACCTTCTTTGCAGCCAGGACGCCACAAAACAAACACGCTGATAACCACTCTGAAATCCAAGCACAAGATGGTGCCGGTTCTGATCCAGACACAGACCAAATGGAAACGGCTGAAAAATTAGATAGCTTGATAACTCCAACCCTTTTACAAGCAATGCTAGATGCAGCAGTTACTAAAATGCAGATCACAGTCACAGAAGCTATAGCTGACTTAAAAAAGGATCTTACGGATCTGGATATTCAGACATCTCATCTGGAGGAAAAGGTAGATGTTATAAATGCGGCTCATATAACCTTGGGAGATTGCTTGAATACCCTACAAGATAAATTATTTATGCATGAAGTAAAACTTGCGAATGTAGAAGATAGATCAAGTCGCAACAATCTTAGATTACACGGGGTATCAGAAGAAGTAGGAGCACAGGATCTAACAGCTTTCACGACAGTTATTCTAAGCTATCCTGCTGGACTTACCACTCAATATGTTCCTTTTGGATCGCATACATAGACTCCCCCGACCGCAACATTTGCCTGCCTCCACGCCACGGGATGTGCTTATGAGGCTCCATTACTATCATGTAAAGGAACAGATAATGCGTGTACATAGATCTAATCAAGATTTACCGGAAAAATATAGAAACATCCTCCTATTTTCAGACCTCGCAGTTGAAACATTATGAGGCAGAAGATCCTTCAAGGATATTGCTGAATCATTAAGACATCATAATATCCCTTACAGATGGGGCTATCCAGCTAAACTTCTCATTACTAAAGGAGGGAAACTCATTATAGCTGCTTCACCTTCAGAAGGGATAGATCTGTTGCACAAATGGGGACTAGTTAAAGATCTCAAATTTAAGTCTACAAGCTCAACTAAAACAACGGTGATGAAAGGAGCATGCAGAGACTCAGGCATGTTACACCGAAAGAAGATTAAGACTGACCTCCTGAAAATCAACAAGGGATTGGCAATCTTATATATTATTGAACTGATCAAATGTCTAAATGTTCCATCGATAATTACTATTAACCCAACAACCCATATGGGCTTAATTGAATTATAATGTAAGTAAAGTATATTTATATTGCATCAGTTAAACGTTACTACAGAAGATGAAACTGGGACAGGATATCTGACCCACTAGAAAATGTAATTTGTAACTTTTTTTTATACTTTTTGTATCAGGCTCACTTCAAATTAACAAAAGTGTATTTATCTTCACAGGTATAACTCTTTCAACCGCCAAGGCACTGAAGTTACCTTTTTAAGTACTAGTAAATACTTGGCAATGTTATATTATGCCTTATATACTTATCCCCTTGTAGCATTGCAGTCAACAAGGCTCTAATTGAATTACAGTTAAAGGGCAACAGCACTATACTACATATGGTTAAGTTACCTATGGGAAATACATTAATTTGTTAATAGCCTCTGCCAGATACCCAGCAGCAACTCTCCTGTTCCCCACGGTATTTACAAAATCAATGAATCCGATCAATATTTAAAGCTATGCAGAAATTTAATAGAACTATGTCTAAGGAGCACCTGATATATATTATAAAATGTTACTATATTACTTGCAAAAGTGATATAATACACAGTTTACTGGACTAGAGGTACTATAATGTACTGTTTTTTTTTTCATCTTCATCACGGTCATATTATGCTTAATCTACCCATTATAAATTAACGTCCAGCGTTAGGTAATTCTAACGCTTTTTATGGCGACCCCTTTTGTTTAAACAATTCTTTAGCAACAATACTTTATACCCTATAGTTTATTTAAATTATGAATGTATAGCCCTTATGAGTTTCACTTGACTCTGTCAAAGCCGTGACTGAGGTGTGCGGTAGGTTGACAATGCCTATTATGGAAGGCGTTGTCGACTTATTGCATATTGTAGGTATGGCTCATAAGTTAAGCCATATAATACTTATCTATGTAAATTTCAACTTGGACATGTAATGCTGGAATAGCCCACTTGTCACACAGATTTCACTAAAGGGTTAATTTTTTTTACATTTTTTTAGCCCATTAGAGTAGTAAACTTCATCTATTATAACTAGGGAAATGGCTGTTCCTTGAAATGATTTCTCTAATGGGGACGACCTAATTTTAAGTGAGCCCAGGACTGCCATCAGCTAAACCCGACCACATTACCCTCATTTAAGAAGTGCCATTGACCGGCACATATCGTTGAAAGTGACCATTGTATTCGAAAAATTATATACCTCATCCTAAGTACAGTATCCATACTAATAGCCAGAAACTGGAAAACAACTACGCTGCCCTCGCTCCAAGACATAGAAAATGTAATGACCTCAACAGTAGAACATGAACTAATAATGTGAAACCAGGCGAAAATTGGGAAACTCAGCCCCCACACTGCCACAATGTGGGAGGACTACCTACGACGAACAAACACAAGACTGACCTGAGCCCCAACACCCACAAAAGTGACAAAATCTCCCGAACCAGGCTTACTCTCAGCCGGAGAACACAACCACCCAGCACCCAAACACTCAACAAGGCACCACACAAAGCTTCAAACATATTGTTGTTACAGTCACTACACAACACAGGATGTCCCCCGCTAGGTACTCCAACCAACACCCCCTGCCCTACTCCACCCATCCAATCTCCCCCCCCCTTCCTGGCCCCCCCACTACCTACCCCAAGCAATCACACTTAAGAAAACAACCCTCAACCCCGAACGCTTGCGAAAGCCTCTGCAACCTATAGGCAAAGCCGGGGAAACGCAGACAACTCCAACATACCCACTAACGCGCACGCGATCAACACTCGCATTGCGGAGCACGCCTACCATAAAGTATACCCCACGAAAGACCACAGGGTTGATATTGTCATAGATACACGACGACACTGTATAAGTTGAGCAATTAGCAACACCCCCTCGACCTGCTGACATACCCCCCCACTTACACATGAAGCTACCAAGATGTACAAAATGTGATTGTGTCATCCCCATGCTATGTTAACGCTCCCTCTTCTTTTCTGTACCCCATACCTTTTCTTGAAGATAATAAAAATTTCAAATTGAAAAAAAAGAAAGTGACCATTGTACGAATATTTTTTTTTCCCCTCCCCGCTTTTTTCTTTTTTCTCTCTCTCTTTTTTTTTTTTTCTCTTCTTGTATATTGTTATATTAAATATTGTACCTTGTTAGTGCCAACATTCAACCACTGTGACACGCTTAAATACCAGACTACGTTAAATATAAGGGCTAGGACATAAAAGGACTAACGACTCACTTGACTATAATATATTGCTTCAGACAGAAGTAAAGCATCTTTTAAAGGACCATTCTAGGCACCCAGACCACTTCAGCTTAATGAAGTGGTCTGGGTGCCAGGTCCAGCTAGGGTTAACCCATTTTTTTTTATAAACATAGCAATTTCATAGAAACTGCTATGTTTATAAATGGGTTAATCCAGCCCTCAACGCCTCTAGTGGCTGTCTCATTGACAGCCGCTAGAGGCGCTTGCGTGATTCTCACTGTGAAAATCACAGTGAGAGCACGCAAGCGTCCATAGGAAAGCATTGATAATGCTTTCCTATGAGATCGGCTGAATGCGCGCGCAGCTCTTGCAGCGCGTGCTCATTCAGCTGAATGGGAGGAGAGGAGGAGGATCGGAGGAGAAGAGCTCCCCGCCCGGCGCTGGAGAAAGGTAAGTTTTAAACCCTTTCCTCTCCCCAGAGCCAAGCGGGAGGGGGACCCTGAGGGTTGGGGCACCCTCAGGGCACTATAGTGCCAGGAAAACGAGTGTGTTTTCCGGGCACTATAGTGCCAGGAAAACGAGTGTGTTTTCCTGGCACTATAGTGGTCCTTTAAGCAAAACTGATTGTCAAACAGACAGAACCCAACAAATCATATTGTCTTGCCTATACTTGCCCATATTCAATCGGGTGCAATAAAATTATGCGTTATGCCCTCCTTAAGGAAATATGTAGTTCACAGGCAGACATTATATGCCTGCAGGAAACCCATTTTAAACATGACAAAACCTATTCTCGGAATTAGAAATTTTCCGTATCAATACCATGCCACATCCCCGTCCAAAAGCAGAGGAGTCTCGATATTGGTCAGCCACACACTCGCTTTCGACCAAATTTCAGCTCAATTAGATCCGCAGGGCAGATTTATTATTTTCATATGTTCATTAAATAATACCGTTTACACAACAGTCGATTCATACAAGAATCAGTCCAGCTATATGTCCACACTTTTAGACAAGGTAGAGAAACTACAAACAGAAATCCTGATTATATGTGGGGATGTGCCTTACACACATATAAAAGAAAAAAACACTTGCATAACCAATGCGCATCTCTCAATAAAACATTGGCTTCACATGGTCTTCACCTGTGAGATAGGTACCTCAGCGGAATCTGATCATAATCCAGTGTTACTCACCCTTATAGATTTATATCAATATAAAAATAGAAGCCCATGGAGATTGAACGAACAGCTGCTCAATGATACTACATTTGCGGACACAATTCGGAAGGAAATACAACAATACTTCAATATCAATGATAATGAAGATACAAACCCTGTCGCAGTATGGCTAGCGCATAAAACAGTTTTCCGAGGGATCCTATTGTGTAGGGCATCTTACTTAAAGAAGATAAATCACACACATCTGATTAATCTTATTTAAAAAGCTCCAAGACTTACATAGAGCAAATCAAGTAAATCCTTCTCAAGCTATACAACAGCAAATACTGATGGTGCAACAAGATATTAA